GCCAACTGGCGCTGCCGGTAGCGCAACCGCAAGCGCTACCAACAACGCCGCCCCTCTAGACAAGGCAGACCACGCGGGGCGTAGATGCCTCCCCATGAGCTCTCGGCGCACCTCCTCGTGGTTTACGTGTGGCGTGTGTGTAGCTCTCTGGCTGGCTGTGCTGTACAACTCCTTTGCGTGCGGGTTCAGGGTGTTTTCCTATCCTCCCCTACACGACTAGACCGTCTGTTCAGCTCGATAAAAAAAAAAAGAAGGATAAAATGATCAATCAATGATCACTCAGACCGGCCGAAGACTCCAAATGTACTCTAAAATGAACTGGCCCCGAGGGGTCCGCAAGTCAGTAGAAATCAACGAACGAAAGATATTCTGGAGTCCTCCACTCCCTCAACCGAGACTAGGAGTCATCGTCACGGGCCGGAGAGAAAGAGGTAGTGCACCCCCTTGGTTCAATCTTGGTACTTCACAATACAAGCAGAGACAAGGCCATCTGGCACAGAAAAGAGATAAAATAACGAAACAGAGAAAAAGAGAAGAAACTAAAAGGAAACATAGTAGACTAGCGAGGAAAGAGAGAAAATGAAACGAAATAGAGCGAGGACAAAAAGGGACCAGGCCGAAAATAACAAGAAATAAGAGACAGAAAAAGGCACACGGTGGAGAGACCGCTAACGAACAAGCAAACACGCAAACATGGCCACCAACCAGCGATACATGGTAATGGTACGTCATCACTAGTGAGGGGTTGGTGCAATGGTGCAGGGTTGGGGGGGGGGGATTGGCTAAAAGAAATTTAATCCGGCACGTACTGCTTTCTTCCCTCGCCGTCTCGTCGGTCTCCTGCCCCCCTCCCGCCCCATTGGTTGGTGACTTGTGGTTTCGTTTGAGCGCCCGTTGTCGGCTGGCCTCTTCTTCCTTCTCGTGCCAGGAGGTCATGGACCTCTCAGCTCCCTGCAGCACCGCCGCATGCCAGAGGGTACTCCACCCTCCACCTTCGCGGCTTCCGTCGCACCCCCCATCGAAAATTTTGTATTCTGCGGAGCTCCGTCTCCAGCCTCTGACACGTGAGTCCGATACGCGCGCGGTGGAACGGTGTGCAGTGCGACAGCCAGCAGCCCACAGTGGCTATCGCTCTGCACAGCTCCCTCTCTCTGCTCTCTGGGCTACGTGGAAATCTTGTTGTGTGGCCGGCCTCACTCCTTGAGCTTCCTTTGGGCGTTGGCCAGAGCCAAAGTTACCGGCGAGGTGAGTTTCAAAAATTGCTTTTCAAAATTTAAACCCTATGCACTGCTGCGGCACTGCTGCGCAGCAGCGCCGTGTATGTAGGGCTAATGAGAGAGAGCGCGAGCCTTCATTGCGTTGCGCGAAGGACAGAAGAAGCACATCGCCGTTTTGCATGCATTTCTCTCTGGAATCGTGGCATAGTAGACCGACAGTATGTCGTGCCCAAGGGCTCATCACACATCCACACGTCCTGGATGAGGCATGATGGGCAAGATGCGTGAGGTGAGGCCTGCCGGTGCTGTGTAGTGGGTGAGATGAAGGGTTGTTGGTTGTCGGCCATGCTCGGCCGAGAAGGGAATGTGAAAGGAAAACTTGGCTGATTGAGAGGGAGAGAGAGAGAGAAAGAGAGAAGAGGTGAATGTAAGAGAGAAGGAAGGGTGTTATGTAGACCACAGATTCGATACTAAAAAGCAAAGTTTGGTACAGCAGTATCGGTCAAGTCCTTAAGACTACTCCTTCCCACTGAAGAAACGAAGGAACGTGGGTGTGTGGGCGTTCAGCGTGGGGACAAACAGCGCTGGAAAGGTGTACATTTGTAAACAGTAATAATGCTTTTTACAGCAGGAGCGCGCGAGAAACACAGGCAAGACAGATTGGAGGGAACGGGGTATTGGAAGCTCCGCAAGACAGTAATCGGCACAGCAGTCTACTATTGCGCCTTCTCGGGAGTTGTGTACACCGTAGTTAGCGCGAGTACGTGCTATGCGTCACACCCCTATGGTGTGAGGTGAAGTGGAGTGCTGCCCCCCGCCAAGGTCCCCACAACATAGACGTTGCTTGCAACTGCTGCTGATGCTGCCCGTGCACCCTACGAACAACGTTACATGAGCTTCAGAATCGCCTTGTACACTATTCAACGCGCAGGTTGCTCTTTCTCGAGAAAGCAGCGAGAACAAAGACATCCACAACCAACACCTCCCGCGACGGACTCCGGTCATCGACAGCACGAACTCCACATTGCCGCCACCCGCTCGCGCCAAAGGCTGCCAGTTCCAAACCCGAAGGCAGAAGAGACATGCCGAGCGCAAAGAAGCAGCGATCTAAGAAGAAGAAGGCGGCGCCTGCAGCTCCCAAGCGCTCGCCGGCCGTAGCTGCCGCTGCATCCAGGATCGAGGCCGCCAACGCCACTCTTGATCTCTCGGCCGGGCTCGAAGCCTTCCTGACCATTGACCTCCCCGCCGCCGCTGCCGTGTCTGGCGCTGCTTCGCCGACGCCTGTTCCCGCCGAACCTGTCCGCCTCGAGATACGGTCGCCGAAGACCCTGCTGGACGGAGACGCGCAAGTCATGTACGACCTCCTCAAGAGCAATATGCACGACATGTACATGGCGGCCGGTTGGGGCTGGAACAAGGCAGAGAAGTGGCGAGAGATGGAGCATCGGGACTCCCGATTTTTGATCGCTCGATGCGGCGCTGAAGTCGACAGTGGTCCAGAGGCGGCAGCGGCGGCGGTGGCGGGGTTGAGAGTAGCAGAAGAGGGGGTTTCCGAGAGCAGCGCGATGAATGGTGCGGGGGGGGCAACCGACAGTGAGGAGGAAGCAAGGGCGCCCTCACGGAGGGGAGAGGAGAGAAAGCCGGGGGGCGCAAGAGAACGAATCGCCGGCTACTGCGATTTTCGTTTCGCTTGGGATCAGGACGAAAATGAGGACGGGGAGGGAGTCGGAGGAATGGAGGACGTGCTGTACGTTTACGAGTTGCAGGTGGCGCCTTGGGCGACGCGGAGGGGCCTGGGGCGGCGGATGATGCAGGCCATCGAGGTGTGGTTATCGCATCAACAAGGGACATCAAAGTATGGTTCTTTCTACCCACTTTGCGTTTCTTGACAACAACTATTTTTTGCGGTCGTGGCCTCGAAAGGTTGCCGTGCGCACGTGAGGAGGGTGCGACAAATGAATCATTAGTGTTTCTGTGTAGCTTCTGCATGAGGCTTTCACCCCCCTCCCACCGTTTCACTTGTGGTACAACATATCAGACACACAGAAGCACCGTGGCTGTGATGTATCTCGTTGCAGTAAGAGCGGATAGTGTTGCATGTCGAACAGAGGATGCGTTGCCCATGGCGGATGACTAGGGCAAGCAAGAATTGAAACACGCCACACATTCCCAGCTCTCATGTATGATTGAATATGTCGATTCTCTCTCTCCGCCCCCCCCCCCTGACGTATTGTCAGCTTCTAGCAAATCGCCACGGCATGACGAAGGTGATGCTGACGGTTTTCAAGGAGAACAGGCAGGCAATGTCGTTCTACACCAAGAAGTGAGTTTCAGTTGGGTGTCGGATAAACCTGGCAGTGTGGAAGAACAATACAGAGCTTTGTTGATTTTCGATATCAAGATGGAGCGCGGCATGAAATAACGGAAAATTACCTTGCCCTCATGGCTTGGACCAGTCGACTTGTTCGTCTGGTCGTTTCAGACCGCTTAGCAGCAAAAAAAATGCCTGCGAGCTTGTTCTTGGACCATTTTGCCACCTTACCTGGTTGGCTCTTCAAGCGTGCATCAATTTGCATGTACACAATAGTTGCCCACACCACAACCTTGTGCAGCAGCTGCGTTGCTCCCACCTAGACGGGCAACAGGTGCGGGCAAGAAGTCTCCTCGTCTGATTCGGACCAACCCGACACGCGAGATCATGAGGACCATCTGGCAATGTATTACCGCACTAGTTGCAGTGAAGGGTCAGGTCTTTGTTAGGTTTCGGGTCATTGTGGACGTGCTGCATTTCCACCGCCCGATGCATGTGCACGATCTGTCCTACATAGAACAACCCGCTGCCATTCGCCCCATTGGGTGTGGTGCAGAATGAAATACGGCGTGGACAAGGACTCTCCTTCCAACTGGGACCAGCCCGACGAGGTGTACGAGATTCTCAGCAAGCCTACGAGACAGGGGGCGGCGAGAACGAAGAAAGCACAGAGAACGGCGACGCTTCTGGACTAGCGACAGAGGATCTCAGTTGATGTGAGAAGAGGGAATCCATCGTCCTCGACAGAGAGACTTTTTTTGAGGTTGTGCCCCTATATGAAGGTGATATCCGTACTGAAGGAGAGAAGTTGCAAACGGCAAGCATGAGCAGTAGTGCGTGGACGCAGTGGGGGTCGTTGTGGCATTCCCGTATTTTGGTGGAAGGTTCGCGTTTTCTTGTTGCGCCTGTTATCGCGGTGCCCCGAACCCTGCTCTCGGCAGCCTCTCGGCAGGAGGAAGGCACGTACCACAGGGCTCGCGATTGCTCTACCACACTAGGGAAGTCCTTGAGAATTGTGATGACATCGTCGAATTTTCAGCTTTCATCGGGCTACAACCAGTATTCCGCAAGGATTTTGTTCCTCTGCAAGAGAGGATTCAATCCTGCATATGATGCTCTTTTTGAAATTAGACTAGATAGAGGGAAAAAACGATTTTTGTCCGGAAAATGGATGGTAGGTGGTGTCCGCCAAGATTGAAGAAACGAACCGTCCAGTCTAGCACGTCATTTCGCGTGGAGAATGCGGGGGTGTACAATTCGATAATGCAGCATGGACACGTTTCACGGTTGGCCCTGTCCTGGTCCAGTCTCCACTTTCCTTTCCCTTCTTGTGCCGGCAAAATTCCATCTTTCTTGGGTGGGTCGGGTGCTTCTACATTTCATTTTCCAACCGCCAAGGCCCTCTGGTACTGTCGACGGCCCGACGGTTGAAGCAGGCATGGCTGGGGCTGCTGTTTGTGCAAACGATTGAGATTCGAGGATTGGTCCAGGCTTGGTGTATGCAGAGAGCGGGGACATCGTCCCGCAGGCGTAGACCACAATGGAATTGCTGTACGCACGAACCGAGGCGCTGCGTGAGGGTGGGAAGGGGATCGCCTTGTGGTTGAGGCCGCGCCGTTGCGTGGAAAGACCGCTGCACGGGGTGATGACTGCCAACGTCATCAAGGTGGTGCCCGTTGCAATGCAGATATCGAAAACTGGTCTTCTGTGGGAGACGAAGAGTTCGGGGTATCCAAGAAGTAATAAAGTTTTGACGTGTTGTATTCTGTTCCACGTGGGAACATCACATACGGAAAGTGCCGCGCGTGATTGTTCGTCAGCCTCCCCGTGACGCGCATGTCGAGCGTTTGTCTGCTTCGCAACGAAATACGCTAGTCAATTTCGCGCTCAAGGAAGATGTGTCTGATGCACACGCAAAGTAAGGCTTACGTTTTTTCCGCCCCTCACATCACTGGTTCCCATCCACCCCAAGCGGCCCTACATTTTGGTCCCGGTCAGTTCTGATGCGTATGCCTGTGAGGGGAAAGACAACCTGAACCAAGCGTTCGGTAGACTGGTGCAGCACATGCGAATCATGACAGATGCATGGGGCCCTATGGTACAAACGGATTTCACGTGCACGCACATGTACAATACGCGAACTACAAGGTCGAACAACGTCCTCTTTTGATCCCGTTCTTGCGATTGACTGATGACTACGGCTGCCGCAGCAGCCTTTCACCGAGCGCGCGAGTGGCAAGGTACGCAGGAAACAAGGCTCGTTTATGGTTGTCCATGCTGCTCTTTCCCACTCATCTGAGGCCCTTTCCTTTGTGTTAACGGGCTCGCAAAAGGAAGGGCCATCACAGCAGATGGACCCATTTCCTTTTTCGGTCGACAACTTCATGTTGCATCCCCCAAACCGCGGAACCCTCGTGCTGAACACCTCTTGCCTCACCTATGTACCTAATGTACTCGGTCTCAAAACCCGGCCGGGTCTCCAAATTCGGTGCAAATCGTGCAACGTCTCAAGCTTGGGTCGGCGGCAGGCAATCGCAAGGTCCGACACAGCACATCAAATGAAGCGCAAAACGTAAAAACAAGTAACTCTAGGATTCGGGACAGCCGTTTGCCACCAACCAATTCACCATGTCAGCATGGTCGCTTTCCCTGGCGGCTTGCAGGCATTCCGCATGCAATGGGACACCGTTCGCCAGCGCACATTCAATGCAGTCTAGGCGACCCTTCTTGGGCTTCTAAATAGCTCACATCCTCGTCCATGCCGCATCCATTTTGATGAGAAGAAAATTAGATATCCCTTGGCAGCCGCTGCAGTAGTTGTCCATTGATACCATTCGCAACCATGAGCACGCAAATACATCAAGATTTTCAGGTGTCCTGCACGGGCTGCTCCGTAGCAGGTGTCAGCATCCAATGAGCACCCATGCTCGTGCAGATACTGAATGACTTCGATATGCCCCCCCACCGCGGCTAGCTTGGAGGTTTCGCTGTTCCAGTCGCAGCCGTTGCTGCGGGCCCACTTGAGTACACCCAGGTGACCGTGCCGAGCAGCCATAGTGCAGGTATCAGCATCCCACGGGCAACCGTTCGCGAAGGCCCATCGAAGCACGTCAGCGTGTCCGTTTTCGGATGCGCACGAACACGTTTCCTCATCCCAGGGACACTCGTGTTGTTCGCGAGCGGACACAAGGAGGTCAAGCCTTCCGAGGGCAGCGATGTCTCGGCATACCGTGCTCCGCGGCGCCAGGCCGCACTTGAAGCTCTGCGACAGCTGGGGCACCCCCGTGTCGGCAGTGAAGGCACGCGTGGTGGTCGGGCGTCCCTCCCACGCGTCCCTCCAGGTCCGCGACACCCCCGCGAAGAAGATATACTGCTCGCCACCCACGAACTCCATCAGGCGGAAGACGATGTCCGGTTGCATGAGGGGGTTGGGCATGCCTTCCAGCCCTTCGCACCGATAAGATCTGAGGCGGGTCAAGGAGGTGTCAGTAAGAACGCTTCGCACTGTCGTTATGTACATCGTAGTTCAAAAGCTGTCCAAAGGCAATGCGTTGTCGGTCATAGGCGGAGAAAAAATAACCTTTTGTTCCAGAACAAAACTACGTTTCATGAGGAATAACTACGTTTCATGAGGAATGAGGGGGCACGTCTGTCTGCGTTTCTCGTTCTGACTTGGGCGTCGCAGCCAATTCTCTTCGCGGTGTGTATCAGCACAGCGGTCCTCTTTGAGCTGATGTTCGCAAGTGGAGCCCTACGTTTCGGAGAAAATCGACCGATGAAGCTACAGAACTCCGTCTGCGGAACCCAGACAACCAGCGAGTACTACAGCAGTACTCATAATGCGAAATAAACGAAACAATACCAGGTTCTATAATAATAGCAGCAATGAGGCATCGCTCCAGGATCGTGCAAATATGTAGAAGTACTTCGCAACATTAGCTGCCGAGGACAAAAAGTGTTGTAGAACGGCCAGAGAGTGTTTATGTCATTCCACGTATTACATCAGTCTTACCCTTACTGTTCTGTTATCTTGATGCATCCGCGGGATCTCGCTATTGACAACCACCATTCCAGCGAGTGTGTCGGAGGGAGCTGTCATGTGTAGGCTCGGAAGCCACAGCCAAGTTCAAACAGGGGACCTTTGTCAGGGGTCACTTTGCTATGCGCTACACTTAATTTAGTGTAAAATACACCATTTATTTATCGGATGAGGGATGGGAGAGCCAGTTGGCAAACACAACATAGTTTCCCATCATCGCTTCTGGGCGGGAAACACATGAGAAGGTACAGATGCTGATATTGCTCCGCATACCATCCATACATTCTAGGTACAGCAGTGCTGTAAACGGTTGCTGTACTGGTCTGTAGTTTGTTTCATCCTCACCTCCAGCCAACTTATTTAGGTGCACGAGCGGCGCTGCCCTTTTCGCTCCTCCTTTGCCTCACACCCTCGTGTTCTCTCTCTCTCTCTCTTTCTACCCTTCGCTCTCTGCTCTCGTGTTGCCTCACTGCTTGTCGGTCTTTGACACAGCTGTGACCGACACAACGACAGCCGCAGCTCAGACAGTAATTGCGCCGCAATTTCAAAGCTGTCTGATTGGTCAGCGTATCCGCTGCTTGTATCCGCAACCTGCTTGCCGCAAGAGAACTTGCACTTGTCACCCTGCTTGTTGCACTGCTGCTCTTGACCCAACCCAGCCCGACGGCATTACGTTGTTATTAATAGCACCCTGATATCACGTAGCCACCTTTTTGCGCGGATCACGCACATACTTTGCTGTGAGGGAGGGTGCCATGAGCGGAGCAAGCGAGGTCGGCGGCAGCGATGCTGAGCATGCTGTGGTAAGCGACATTGTGTGCAACTTTTGGCGTTCTCGTCGCTCGCTCTACCAATGAACAGGCGCCAGCCCTACATAGTGTGAAAGACAGACAACAACGCTATCTGAGCTAAATGCGTGCGTGTTTTTCTTTATTTTTGCATTATTGGCGCTAGCCGGCCGAGCCATCAAGACATGGCAAGTAGCGGAGAAATAACGACGACGCACATTTTTCTTCGGGTTACCCCGCCCCAAGGCCCGGTAGGGGAGGGCGCGAAGCGAGGAGGAAGTTGGGACGAAAGAGTTCTGTCCGGTTTTGAAAATTCTTTCAAAGCAGAAGGCTCGTGTTTGTTGTTGTTGTTGTTTCTCACATTAGCTCTGTAGTCCACAGAAAATGGGGAGCCCGTGGTCTCAAAGCCCGGCACATACGACGCCGCGGGGAAAAAAAACAAAAACGTGTGTGTGTGCCTGTACGTGTTTTATTCTTGGCATCGACCGCTAACCGGCTGATCAATGAAAAAACGTCAGTCTCCGGGCGTTGAAAACACAATAAATGCTTCTAGAAGGCATGGGATGGGACGAACCCGTGAGGGGCGTCATGGGAGAGGCTAATGCTTACTCTCTGTAGCAGGCTAATGCTTACTCTCTGTAGCAAAAACCGAGGAAAACTCACGTGTGTACCATCGCTGCTACTTTTGGGCGCGCGTTCGTTTTGGATTGCTTTGATCGCCCTCCGTGCATTTTCCACCACCCGCCGTTCTCACAATAAATGCTGCTAGAAAGCATGATCTGGGACCGAGCCCGCGAGGGGCATCATGGGGGAGGCTAATGCTTACTCTCTGTAGCAGGCTAATGCTTACTCTCCGTACCAAAAACAGAAGAAAATTCACGTGTGTACCATCGCTGCTACTTTTGGGCGCGCGTTCGTTTCGGAGTGCTTTGATCGCCCCCCCCCGTGGTGTAGAATCCTTCAGGAAACTGCTGAGAAGCGTCGAAGACGGACAGGTAGACGTACAAGCAGCAGGGGACAGAGTGATTGAAGGGTGGGAGTCCATCGTGAACGCAACGGCAGAGAGAGTAGTGGGAACGAAGGTGGTACGATGTGGGGTATCGGTTAAGTGGTGGGATGACGAGCTGAAAGAAGAAATAGGG